TATGGTATGTTATTACTGGCATCCAACTGTCTTACGTCCTCAAAAGACGTCCGCAAGCCCCAGAGACGAAGCCCGAAGCAACGCAGGTCATGGAATGGCCGCCTGTGTTCGCGGCTTAGTGCTGTTGTCATTCCGTGGGTTAGCCCTACTGGAATTTAAGACGTGTGGCTGCTGCGGAGTTTGTTTTACCCCCAATTGCAAGATATGCCGAGGCACCGGGGTGGGCGGGCTGGGTGAAATGTTGACTTCTGAGCCGCTGGCTAAAGACCGAGGGTTCAAGAGCCCGAGCTAGCTTCTGTCAAAATCCTTTATAGCATTGCAGAGTTGTTTAAAGGAGGGCGTGCATCATGTTGCTAAGAAGCCACAGATGGAGAATACAATGCTAGCGGCCCTGATGACTCTTACATGACTACATGTCAGTACTGCAGTTGCTACTGTAGGACCTTGCTGTTGCACGTAGTCAGAGGTGGTAATATGCTACCGTGCATTCTTACCCGGTCTTGTCGGCGAGGGTTCGTTTGTGCATGTCCTAGAAGTCTCCTACATGTCCAGCTAAGTCTGAAAACATATCGCATCGTCTCTCAGTGCAAGTTCCTTGGCGTGAGTCAGCATTTCAATCTACAGCCGCTCACCGTCTTTTGTTTACCTGAACCCGAACCCTCAAACCGAAATCCCGGACCCTCAATCCTATGTCCTCTAATCTAAAGGCTAGCCCTCCACTCAACATATGCACCCCATGTAAAGCTCTCAGGGGCACCTAGGTGGGAGCTTGGCAGCGTCCGGTGATGTAGGAACCTGAATAATTAGACTAGACTGTTGCAAGGTGTTTTGAGGACTTTACAGAATCTTCTGCAGAGTTTTAGAAGGTTAAAGCTACAGGGGGCCTTCAAAACCCTAGAAAACGGTCTTGCAGTATAATGCAATGGAGTTATTAGGAACTGCAAAGGGATGCTCCGGTTTACCTGCAAGGGGCTACTCCGGTTTCTCTGTAACCAGGCGGCCGGTGGCATCTTCCATGCCACCGCGCTACATGCAAGAGGCTGCGCCTTGAAGCAGGGAAGACATACCTTTGGTTAGTAGGATATGGAAGAATGGTAGTAATAGTAGTTATAATTGTACCCCATTCCGAGCCCCATTCCTCCATTCCCTACTAACCAAAGGTAAGAAGACCGAAGGGAATCAGATGATGTGTGGAGGTAGGGGGAAGCTCTATCACTAGTCACCCCAAGTAGTACGTTGACAGGGGCAGCAGCAGCAACACAGGGATGTCTTGAGTTTTGCTGTACCCCGATGTTGTAGACGTGGGCGCACCCTGTTCTTCATCGTGGCACTCTGAATATACTGTCCGTCGCTGCAAACTGTCATGAAATGGCTGCAGACCCTCCAGTTTCAGCAGCCGTCCGACACAGCCGGCTGTTGTTGTTGATGATGGTGGCGATGGTGGTGATGCTGCTGCTACCACCACCGCCACCACCGCTACGATGACGACGACGGAGAATACGACAGCAGCAACTATCACTTCCGCTGCGTCTACTGCTACGACTGCAACAGCTACTGCCACCACAGCTACTACTCCTATTCCTACTCACCGACTGCGATTGTGACTGTGACTGCCACGGCTGCTGCTACTGCTTCAGCTGCTGCTTCTGCTGCTACTGCTGGCTGCTTTTGACTCCCCGATCACGACCTGTCGTCATCTTAAGACTTGGAATAGTGAAACTAGCCATCGTGATCTCTGAAACGAGTAGCCGCTAAGCATGTGAATTACAATGTCGAACTGCAGTGTGCAGCGTGCCACCATGCAAGCAGCTCTGCGGTTGGGATATGTTTGCAGAACTGCAGCAGGAATTCAACGCGTCAATAAGCCACCAATTCACCCCAGACGCGGCTGATTCCTGAACCTAATCAACTACAGCCTCCCGCAAAAAGTTATAGAAGTCTCATAGAACTCTGAGCGTAACCCATAAAGGATCCCATATGGATCCCCGAAAGGAGCCCCGATAGATCCCTTGAAAGAACCCAAAACCACGGCCTTGAATTTGGGCTCTTGCCAGGTTGGCGTGCAAGTTGAGTGGAGGCACAGGTGCTTCGAAGCGCCGAGGGATTTGTGGGCTTTGCAGCTTCCCAGTTTGATTCACGGCTTTTGGCATATTCGTGATAGTGCAAGAATACTATTATATCATATCTCTATCGTCTTTAGTAGTCATATGAATAAAGCTTAGAAGGGTTATACAGGGCTTATTGCAGGCTTCTCGGGTTGTATCAGGGTATCGTCCAGGCTTTGTCTTTATGCCGTAGTTCCGTTGATTCCGATGGATTCACTGTCTTTTTGTGTTTATGCCCATGCTGTGGGGACAGTAAGGCGTTGACAGTTGGGCTTCTGAATAGGTTTGAAAAATCTATGTATACCGTATACTTGCATGACAGGGCAGCAAGGACGTCGAAGGTAACCCTAAATCTCAAAGAAAACTTACTACTTGCAAAAAACGGTCTGCAAAACACGCGTGAAACAGTAGCGTCCCAGCAAAGCCCTTGATGGCAGTTTCCTGCTTGTTAGTCTCAAGCTTTCGCTGTTAAAAGCCCTTATAATGTCTCAAACTCCAAAAAGAGTACGCCTAGCCCTAAACCCTAAACCCGATCCCTAAAAGGTAATCCCTAAACCCACTACTTCTGCGTTCCACGAGCTTTGGCAATCTTTCAAGCCATAACCCTGAGAGTTCGAGTTCGAGAAAATCTGTTGGTAGCACCTGACCTTCGGCCCCAATTATTTTCGAAATCTTGAAGCTTGAGAACCCCAAGGCCCCCCCAAAAAAAAAACAAAAACCCTGAAAGCCGATGAAGGAACTAGAAGTAGATGTCTTTCCTGCAGATCTGCCTCGGACGACCTGGAATCCGAGGACTCTTGGACAACTTCAGGGGCCAAACTTTCGCTTGTGCCGACTTTAAACCGGACGGCTTGTTTGTTCATGTAAGCTTCGCAGGGGCCTTAATAATTATGGATACTCTCATACGGTGTTGGGCTCCTTGAAGGGTTCTTTAAAGTTTCATGATCTTGGTGGGGTGCATAGGGATTTTACAAGTTAAGGGGAGGGGTTCATGGAGCTTTGTGGGTTTATGTAAAGTTTCTGCTGTGCGTTGAGTGGTGGAAGTAGCGCCGTCAGAGCAGGCTTTTGGGTCGGAACGTTTCACGATTGCCCCGATGGCACATTGCTGCGCTTCAACCTCGGCTCCCCACCCACAAATCTCAGACCCTCCAGGAGGTTAAGGGATACATTTATTGCCATCATAGGGATCTAGAGTAAATAGTATGGTTTCTTTATAATGAAAACCCTAAACCCTAAACCCTAAACGTCAGCTAAAGCAGGAGGTGACAGAGGAGTCGACGGAGGAGTCGCCGAACGAAGGCGGAAATGTCAATGGGGCCTGAATTTCAGCATGGCTTACTATGGGAGTTTCCGAAACTTCGGGGCACCTTATTTGCGTCCTTGTAATAAGGATCCTACTATTAGGGTACTATATTAGGGTCCCCTATTTTCGGAAACTCGCATATAGGAGCATGATTAGGAAACAGTGGCCCTGTAACCCCCAAACCGTAGGATCCATATGAAGAAGGCTAATAAAGGGTCTCTTCATCTGGTTCCTAAATCAGGGTTTGGGGTTTTCAGCGACAAGGTTACTCAACCTTTGTAAGCACTCCGAGCCCAGAGCCCTCATCACCAAACCCCGGAGCCTACGAAATCTACGGAGAGGGCGGAGGGCTTTGAGAGATGGACCGGATCGTAGAGGTTCTACCCTAAGGCCCCAAAGTCGTTCCTTTTTTGGGTTCGTATATAGGATCCTATAAGGTAATCTTAAAAAGGAACTACTATGGGGCCTCTGGGTAGACACTCCCCCCCCGAGTACGTGGGGTGAAGGCCACGAAATTGTGGCTGCACCCTGCTTTTAGGGGCTTTTGAGGGCTGCTGGCCCCTGGGCCTTGTCTTTGAGTTTCGGACTTGGGATGGGGGTAGCTTTGAGATCATTATGGGCTTAGGGTCAGGGTTCGGGGCCGCAAGAGGCCAAATCCGCGGAGCTTCAGAGCGACAAACCCGAAGTCTTAAATCCTACAGGCGAACCACCATTCAAATCAGGAAGCCTGGAACCGTGACACGCAAGTCCAAGCCCTTAAACCCGTTCCGAAGCTTGACGGCAGGTCTATGCCTAGGCCTAGGCCCTCACCGTTTATTGTCGTGTAGGGCTGAAGCTTGTTGGAAGCAGGTCTTAGGTTTCCCGGGTTTGAGGTGCCGGCGAAAATAGGGTCCCTTATACAAGTGTCTTTAATACCATTCCGCGATCAGTGGGAATCGAGATGCGTGAAGCACGCACTACAGCGTAGGGGCCTTATTCATTAGAATCGGGGTTCCTTTAAAGGGGTCTATAAGGGCTACTATACGGCGGTCTACTGCATATAAGGGTACACACATCGCTAGCTTCCAGCAGCCGTTTCACCCAAGCTTGGCCCGGGGGTTGCCCCATCCCGAAATCAATATAGGGGCCTAAATATTTACCTATACTATTTTTGGGGGTTCCTTATTATGATTATAGTATACTGGGCCCCAAAACCTTATTCTAATTGTTAAGGCCCCTACATCACATGGTCAGGTCTGATCTCAACTGGTTGTCTCGTTATTGAGAACTTGTTGCTTTGCGCAGTTCTCATCAGTGGAGTGTTTCCCTTGTCGTTGCTCTCCGTTGTCAATGTTTAAGCCTCAATGCAGCAAGCCCTAAGGCCAAACCCTGAACGCCCTGAACCCCTAAAAGCTTAAAGCCCTAAACCCTAAAAGCCTAAACCCTAAACTTCCCTAAACCCCTAAAACCCCTAAACCCTAAACCCTAAAAGCCTAAACCCTAAACCCCTAAACCCCCAAACCCCCAAAACCCTAAACCCTAAACCCTAAAAGCCTTGAACCCCAAAGTTTCCTAATGCCCCCCTTTCAACCACGTTTTAACCCTAGACCGCCATGGCGGACCTCGATTTCATCGATCCTCTCAAAGTAGAGTTGGTGGAGCCCAAAGAGGCCTCTGGGTTTAGGGGTTTAGGCTGTAGGGGTTTAGGGTTGAGGGATTTAGGGGTTTAGGGTTTAGGGCCCAAAGAGGCCCCTGCGTTCAGGCTTCACATTCAGAGTTTCGGAGCATGATCGGGGCCGTAATAACTACCCATACTATGTTGGGGGTTCCTTGTCGCAGTTGCAGTGGATACTATGTCAAGGCCCCGGTAATACGGTCTTGGATGTTGGGATGATACCACTTGAGAAAGTGATCGTGACAGTTAGGATTATGGTGACGATGCTGACGGTGCTATGGTGATGACACTGACAAGGCACGGTAGTCATGCTGGTGGCTTTGAAAAGGAAGATGACTAAGCTATAGGGTTAATGTGTGCTGATGATGTATGTGGATGATTGTGTGCTGATGAAGATGATTACGCGGGTGATAATCTATCATTCAGTGTCCTTGAGGAGTGGTGGTGGCGGTAGTGCCGCTGGTGGACGTACTCATATTTGTTGCATCAGTACCTCAAGCATTACTATAGCAATACTGGCAATCATGGTCGACGAGATCTCCTTAGTAATCATCGCAATGGGAGCAACCCGAATACCACCGCGAAAACGTGAAGAATGAAGCACAGGCCCTAAGGCTAGAGATCTCCAGACATCGGGCCAGGTGTGCTCGGCATTGGGTCTGATGTCCCGAGCGGAATGCACAAGCCGCCGATCAGTTTTGGCCATGTGAGGGTCTCGCTTAACCTTAGCGCTCCGAGCAGTTTGCTCGTCGTGGTACCTTATTTGTGGGTCCTTGTAATAAGGATCCTACTACTTGGGTACTATATCCCTATTTCTATAGGAACCTTGTGACGACCCCTCAGGCCCTTAAACCACTCCGGAGCTGGGAGTAAAGTGTTTTCAAGAGCCCCGGACAAACTCAGGGAAAGGCCAAGACAGCCTCAGCGAAAGAACTCTGGCTGGGCGTTTGCTGAAAGGGGCTCTTCTGTTCGTTTGCACCTCACTGATCAGGCTCCGGCGTGGATGATCGCTGTTGCGGACTTTGCCGGTTGCAGCACGTGCTGCATGCTGCTGGACAGGCGCCGGGATGTTTTCGAGAGTTGTTTGTGTTGGCAACAAGGTCTGACTGAGGCAGTGGCCGCAGTAATTGCTGCACTTCCTGGTTGAAAGCACGAAGCCCTTAACTCAGTGTAGTCTACCACAACGTCAATTCCGAAATCATGCTTGCAACTCCAAGAGCTTTCGACACGTCGGACAACAAGCGGGAAGCATTTCAAGTATCTTTCAGCACTACCGACTAGTCTCCATTGTAGTTTCGATCTTCGGCTCACCGTTTACATAAGAGGATCTGATAATACAAAGTCGGTAAACCAAAAAAAGAAACTACAATGGGGCCTAAAGATGATAGAAAAGAAACAGATCAGCGTGAGGTATTCCAAATTGCTCTAGCCACGGCTGCAAACACGTGCGTTCTCCAGTCCAAATCCTATCTTCCGGAAGCTCTAAGCCGTACAAAGCAAAGGCTTACCAGAAATCGCAAACCCAGTCCGGAACAACTTCCTGACTGCTGGTCCCAGTTTAGTCCTCGCAGCTACATCGCAACATATACTATACTCCTTAACGGACTTCCTGCCATTCCTTCTCGTCGTGTCTGGTTTTATATCACATAAGACACGATAAGAGCTTTCCGGAGAAAGCAATGTACAAGAACATACCATATTATAGTATACTATATATACTACACCATACTATACTATACTACACTACACTATGCAAAAATATACTATATACTACAGTTTATTGTTACCTTCTTTTCTGGCTTTGCCACAGCTCCTGGGCTGCCGCTGCGCTGCGCGCAAGCACAGCGCTGGCGCTGGCCAGCGGTGCGCCGAGGGGCGCAGCATTGCGCGCCATCCAAAGAAGGCCACTTAGTTTAGGGATTTGGGGTTTAGGGTTCAGGGATACTACAAGGGTTTGATTTAAGGCCAGAACAGGGTTTTTTGTGGGGCCCAGTATATTGTAATAATGAACCCCCAAAATAGTATTGGTAATTATTGAGGCCCCTATAGTACTTCCTGTGCTCATGCGTTTCATGATTTTGTTGTAGCTGTCCTTTGTTTCTGTCGCCAAGACAGATGGAACTTGGAGCCTGCAGCTGCTGCTGGATATGAAGCCGAAGCCCATGCTAAACCCTAACCCCTGAACCCCAATTCCTATAGTACCCTTATAGTAACCTTGTTACCCTAAACCCGAAGCCCTTTAAGGAACCCGAAGATCCTATGCTGCATTACTGAGTCCTTGAAACTATTGTTGATGATATAAATCCTGCTGCGTTACCTTAAGGACCCTAAACTATGGAAATTCTGGTATATTCCTTATCATGGGTAATGTAGGATGAATATCATCAGCCGTAAACGCCAGACTAAGAGCCCAGATCGTTCTTACCGATCTCACTTGCGACACTCGAACTTCGCACAGCAATGTTTATCATGGCAGGGTTCGTTTGGAGATTTTTGGAGGATGATCACTAGAAGCTGTAACACCGCCAAGCTCATTTCCTCGGAGGCCTTTTTTGGAAGTGGTGGACGCGTCGCGCTGTGCCGCACTTCATGAGGACGTAGCAGGGGCCCAACGCCCCGTACTTCTTAACTAAGGCTAAGGAATGTTCCTGAAAAACAGTTTCAGTTTTAAGGATTCGATGAACGGCCTCCTACAAACCTAGTATCGCAAAAGACCTTATGGCCTTCCTTCATGGTTCATGATGCATATGAGTATTGTTCTCTGCGGGGCAGGTCTTTCGGAGCCACGAAGTTGATCTAAACCCCAGAGCTGGTTGGAGCCAAACCTTCAAATCCCGAACCCTAAAATTAAAACCCTGCACCGTAACGCCCAAGCCTTAATGTCCCAAACCCTACACCCTCAACCTCAACCGTAATCCCCAAAACCTGCGCCCTAAACCCCAAACCCTGGACCCTACTACTATAGGGGCCTTAATAATTACCAATACTATTTTGGGGATTCCTTATTATAATTATAGTATATTGGGCCCCAAAACCCTGTTCAAATTGTTAAGGCCCCTGTATTAAACGCATTGCCCGAGGATGTCGCCGTACAGGGACTCTCCTCCCTGCTCCGGCGCCTGCCGGGGAAAGCGACGCCGCGCCCCAGGCGGGCGCTTTGAGGGTCTAATTCCCTGAGGCTCCATGGGTTCCTATATGGGTACCTTGGGTATAAGTATATACTATATGGCTACATGCAGCCTTCGGGATTACTTGTGGCTGTAGCTATCGTTACCACAACGCGAATGCTTCAGCTGCAAACCTCCACACACGCTCAAACCCTAAACCAAAAACCGTGACCAAAGCCCTTATATAAGCCCTGCAATCGCGTACCCTAAACCTTCCCCTAAACCCCAAAAGCCCAAATCCTAAACCCTAAACCCCTAAACCCCTAACCCCTAACACCCCTAAACCCCAAAAGCCCAAATCCTAAACCCTAAACCCCTAAACCCCTAACCCCTAAAACCCCAAAAGCCCAAATCCTAAACCATAGAAGCTCTAAACCTTTTGCTTCGTAGGCTCCGACCTGGCGATCTGCCCCTGCGGTGCTTGCGCCTCTCGGGCGCACGAGGCGCGACCTGCGACGGGCTTCATGATGTTTTTGGGCTCTCGGAAGTTCATAAGAGCTCTTCCGTGGTTTTGGGGGTTTTGGGGGTTCGAGGGTGTCTGGATTAAGGGGCTTAGCGTTCGACGCGTTGAGGGGTTGTCTCGTTTAAGGGCCAGTTTATGTTGTTCCGGGATGTGGAGATTCGGGTGGAGAATGTTTTGGAATGTGTCCTGGACTGTCCCGTTGTTCTGGGGCGTTTGTACTGGAAGGTGTGACAGTGTTGAGTTGAGATGTGCTAGGAAAATTCTCGCGGGCTTAAGAGTCAACTCTACCCAGAAATCCTGCATGCTACAGTCTTAAACCCTGTACTCCACCTCCAGCCCGGAACCAGTCGTAGCGCACAGTTTTTTAAAAGACCTATGTCTTAAAGAACCTAAAAAACATATGCTCTTTTAAAATGCCTTATGCGTTTCAGGTCTTGACTGGCAAACTTGGCTCTCAACGCTGGGGTCTACTTTAGAAGGGGCCCCCATCCTGTAATAGTGTTATAATAGGAATATAATAGGGCCCAAATATAATCCTTATAGTTTTTTTTACAGGGTGGGGGCCCCTTCTAGGGAAGTAGCCCGAGCTAGCAGCCGGAAGCTCGAGCTTGAAAGGCCTTGGACGCCCGTCCGTGGTGGCTCTGCAAAGGCAGGGAGGGGGGTTTTGGGGAACTTACAGTAGAGTTGTAGAGCGCATCAATGGGTCCTGCCTTCCCGCCATCAACATACCCTAACCATCCGAACCCTAATGCTTTTTCTCCAGTCTTGCATCCTAAGCCTGTGGCATGAGTGTGTGTATAAATGCTCCCAAACTCTGAACCCCGAAACCCTGAACTACCAAAACACCAAACCCCTAAACCTCAAAACGCTGAACCCCTCAACCCTAAGCCCCTAAATCCTAACTAATCTTAACTAACCCCTTCATAACCCTTTACCGAAAGCCCTGCAAAACCCATACTCCTGCTAAAGCCTGAACGATGACCAGTCTGATTCCTCAGGGGTCCCTTTTCTGGTTATACTATCAAACCTTTTGAGAGGGACACCAAAACCCTGTTCTAATTATCAAGGCTCTTATACCTGGGTTACTATACACCACAGCCCTGTTGAAATTATGAAGGCGCCCATACCATAGAATCCTACTATAGATCCCTTATAGAGCCCCGTAAGGAAATGATGAAGGCACCTAAATTCAGGTATATAAGACCTTCCACTCGGGAGGCTGGGCCTGGAACGCTTCGCCTTCCCGGCGGCGCACGCCGAGCGGGGGACCGTCCTCCTGAGCCGGCCCTAGTGCTCTCTTTATCGGGTACCATCACGGCCTCTCCCATAGAGCCCCAAATAAGAGTCCTGTAGATTTTTGTTATAAGGTTGTGTATTCTTAGGGTACTGCAGGACTACTATGTGACAGGTATGTTACGGCTGTTTTCTGCAGGTCGCATAAGGCAAAGATGAGGGCTCAGTATACCCTAAGCCCAAGCTTCAAGCAGCAGGCTATCGTGTTATCCAGGATGCAGGCATTAGGGTTTCAGGTCTCCTAATCATGGAAATACCTCAACCCTGGATTTCAGGGCGATCATGGCACTTGGCACCATTGGATGTTATATGGGTGGTTGTCAAAATTGTGGCCCCTTTTTGGGGTACCCTAAATATTAGGTGCCGTATTATACTAGGGACCCAATAAGGGACCCTAATCTTGACAACCACCCATATAAAGTAAGTAAGATTGCAATCATGCGCTTGTCTCCCCAATTGTGTTTTGTTGTAGCAGCCTTACTCACTAAGTCCCACTAAGTCCCACTATTCCCAGAAAGGCCACCACCGGTTGGTTAAGAAATCTACGGAATGTAAGCGCCCTCCAAATTTTGAATTACTTCTTAGCTACGGGCTATCTGGGTAAGCCCCAGAAAGGCCTAAAACCCTAAACCCTAAACCCCTAAAATAAACCCTAAACCCTAAACCCTAAACCCCTAACCCTAAGCCCCAAACCAAGGAGCCGGCCCTTGTTTCCCGGCGCGGGCTGTGAGCCAGAGATGGTCAGGCGGGAGTTGTGTCGGGGCGTAGGGTGGTAGGGGTTTAGGATTCAAGGTGTAGGACTTTGGGCTGTTGGCTGTTGTCAGGGTTTTATGAGGGTGTGATAATAGGGTTCATTCAACTTTATGTTAGGAATCTATCTGGGTTTAAGGTGTTCAGCAGATGTCTGGGGGGGTTACGGGCCGCGGCAAAGGCCCGATGCACAGGGGTTCAGGGGCTTTGGGACGGGTTCCATATCAGTTTGCGACCAGCTGATGTGATATAATACAGTACAACATATGATATAACATATAAGTCGTTTGCACTATAGCTATATATATGTATATATATATATATATGAACACACTATTTTCTACAGTACAGTATCTAATATATAATGTTCCTCGACACCCGTTCCTTATCACCACAGTCCGTAAGTCTCCAGTTTCAAAGCCCGAAACCCTCAACCCTACCCTAAACCTGAAATGTAGCATGGTGCACAGTAGCCACCGCTTCCTTTTCCCAGGAACCTGGATACTCCAACGCCCCTCAAACAGGGAATGCATTCCTTAGCTAACGAGTGTAAGGAGTTATATCTTGAATTCAAGGGATCCGAGAGTACATTTAAGCCTGAAGCCTTAAACCCTAAACAGTCTTTGGGAAGGTCCGTCATCCTCCTGCTCAGCCACACGAAGGGGGGCTCGGTGGGTCTGGCTTTGAACAAGCACTGCAAACTCGACCTGGACCCGGGTTTCCGTTGAGTTGGGTTTAGGGTCTAGGGCTTCTAGTTCAGTTTAGGTTTGTGGGTGTCTTGTCAACTAGATTCCAAGGGTTTTCATGGAGGTTTTCTGCGCCACATGTTTAGGTGCATCGCAGGGGTTATGATAGGTATTTCCACATATTGTGGGGTCTATGATAATTGCTGTGGGAACAAGACGAACCGCTAGACTGTTGACCCTTTCGTCCAGCGTTTTTGTTTCAGACCTTTGGATTGAGTCCGAAACGGCGTTGTTGGGTTTCCGGTGACCTTGATGCAGAGACGATGTTTCAGAGCCCACGGCTCTTATATGGGGCGTCACTAATGAGAATGGGTTTTGGTAGTCACTAAAGTCAGATTCTGTGGAGACGGTAAGGGGTTAATGACTGTCCGTAGTTGTTCCGACATCTATTACTTTATAGCCTCGTCAAGCGGCGTCCGGCGGCGTCTTGTATGGGGCTAGCAGGGGCGGCATCCTTACAATCGCCTTCAAGACCGGACCCTCCAGTCTCTAAGCAATCAGGGAGCCCAATTCCCCCTAACAATGTAATGTGGAATACACCTTAAACTGTCGGGCCTTTTTGTCATTGCTTGGGTTAATTACGGTATCCTTTGGGTTCAAGGTGTAGGGTTTCGGGTATATGGTATACAGGTTCCTCCTCTTCAGGCAGCAATACAGACTGAAGCCTGCTACGCAACTTAGGAGTAGCCTATGGGGCTTTAGTAGGGATTAGGGTTCCCAGAATAGGGTTCATATTAAGGAATCCCTACCCCGAGAATCTTACACCCTCCTTTTGGCCTCCCATCTCATTAGCAAGCTTATCCCCAGTTCAGTTTAGCAGGAATCATCCGCTATCATGCCCCTTCTCTGATCGTGTAGGTCCCCATACTCTAAACCCCAACGCCCAAAAGAAGATCCTAAAGCCTTGTTGATACCCAAAGGCCCCACAGTAGTTCCTTTCGTGGTTCATGTATAGAATCCTATACGGCAATCCCAAAAAGGAACTACTCTGGGCCCTAAACCCTAAACCCTAAACCCTAAACCCTAAACCCTAAACCCTAAACCTCTGGGTAACCACCACCTCTCAGGAGGACCTCGCATGGACCACTGCGCCCACCTCGACAGACCTCTCGAGCCATCCGGTGGCCTATGGAGGCCGGGTCCCTGGAAGACGGTTTAGAGTTTGGGGTTTAGGGGTTTAGGGGTTTAGGGTTTAAGGGTTTAGGGGTTTAGGGTTTAGGGTTTAGGGTTTAGGGTTTAGGGTTTAGGGGTTTAGGGGTTTAGGGTTTAGACACCCGATACCCTGAGCCCCGAGCCGCTGTACCCTGCCTGGGCCCTAAAGAATCTAATCGTACCTGTTTAAGGATTTTCAAAAACGGAATCCTCCTAAAGAGGTAGGTTTTTTAAGGTTAAGGCCCTGAACCTTAAACCCTAAACCTGAACAATGGCTCCTCCTGGTCAGGATTTCGAGCTGGTCGCATTCGGACAAGGGCCCGCAAAAACAAGAAAGCCTAAATTTCCTCTAGGACCTAGAGTAGGCCCTTATTCCCTTTTTCTAGGGTTCAGGTTCCCTTAAAAGCCCCTTTAACCCAAAAAGGGCACCCTTTTTATTCCTAGGTTTCTCCTAGGTCGAGTCCTAAAGCCTGAACCATCCAGTTTGGAAATGTCTGGAACAATGAGTCGATTGAGGGTGACTTCGAGTGGGGCGGGTCGCAGGTGTACGTCTGAACTAGGTTCTTTGCTACGCCAAAAGTGCGGCACTAGACTGCCCAAGGTGGACTTTTTGAAGCACGTTCTCTTGTTATTGCTCCAGCTCTTGGTGTTGCTCCGACTCTTTCTCCTGCTCATACGTTTGTTAATATTTAGGGGGTTGTTGAATAAATGGGTGTACGGATTAACCCACAAAAGGGGACTCATAACCCTGCCTATAACTATCCATCAACCCCCAAGTAAGGCCCCAAGTAAACCCCATAACTTCGTAGCTGAGTAGGTAACCCTTAACCTTTTGGGGTTCATGTAATCCTACCATATAACTGGAAAGGTCTTTTTTGAACCAGGATACTCAGCCCCCAAACCCCGAAACAGTAAATCCATCAAAGGCGCCGCTCTCCCTCCACTTGGAGGGTGGAGGGGACTTAGTAACTGGCTTTTTGTTAAGGACTTATAAGTACCATAACCCCAATTAGGGTCCCTTTTAAGGTACTTATAAGTCTACTTACTACCTACTTACTAAGTCCCCCGACCCTCCAAATAGGGGCCTTAAAAATTGGAACAGGGTTCCTTTAAGGGTTCCTTTAAAGGGGTCTCTAAGGGAACTACAATAGGGGCTCCATGATATAAATGCCCTAAACTCTATAAACTCCTAAACCCCTAAACCCCTAACCCCTAACCCCTAAAACCCTAAACCCCTAAACCCTAAACCCCATAAAAGCTCGGTTTTCCAGGCTCCTTCGGCTCCGATCTCTTCCTCCTCCACGCGCAGCCGTCGGAGGCCGAGCTGGAGGGGGAGGAGCTGATCCCAGGCTGGGCTTAAGGTGTTTAGGGTTTTTTGGGTTTTTAGGGTTTAGGGTTCTTAAGGGTTTTTAGGGTTTAGGGGTCTTAAGGGTTTAGGGTTTTTAGGGTTTAGGGGTCTTAAGGGTTTAGGGGTTCTTACGGGTTTAGGGGTCTTAAGGGTTTAGGGTTTTTAGGGTTTAGGGTTCTTAAGGGTTTAGGGTTTAAGGCTTTTAGGGTTTTTAGGGTTTAGGGTTCTTAAGGGTTTAGGGTTTAAGGCTTTTGGGGGTTTTAGGGTTTAGGGTTCTTAAGGGTTTAGGGTTTAAGGCTTTTGGGGTTTTTACGGTTTAGGGTTCTTAAGGGTTTAGGGTTTAAGGCTTTTGGGTTTTTTAGGGTTTAGGGTTCTTAAGGGTTTAGGGTTTTTAGGGTTTAGGGTTCTTTAGGGTTTAGGGTTTTTAGGGTTTAGGGTTTTTAGGGTTTAGGGTTCTTAAGGGTTTAGGGTTTAAGGCTTTTGGGTTTTTTAGGGGTTTAGGGTTCTTAAGGGTTTAGGGTTTAAGGCTTTTGGGGTTTCTGGGGTTTAGGTCTCCTTTTGGTTGAAGGGTTCTATGTCAAAGGGGAAAAGGAGGGACCCGGGAGGCTTAAGGAGTTTGGGGAGTTTGGGGAGGTTGGGTGGGGCTCCTTTTTGAGGGATCCTTAAGGGTTCCTTTAAGGGATCTATAGGGTTTAGGGTTTAGGGGTTTAGGGTTTAGCGTTTTGGGGTTAGGGTTTAAAGTTTATAGAATTTAGGGCCGTCTAGGGGTTGTGGTGAAGGGTTCAGGATTTCGGGGTTCGGGTTTAGGGCTTAAATGTTGGGAGGCATTGGGCTTAGCTGTTAAACGGTTTAGGCTTGCAGGGTTCATGCGATTGTAGTGTTAACGTGTGAGGCATCCAAGAAATCTTCGGGTTGAGGGCTCGGGCCCTTTAAGCCTTTGAAAAGATGTTGGCCCATATTAGGCCCAATAATGTCCCAATGGCCTCATAGGGCGCAGGACTATGGGCGGTTTCAATGGACAGAACCTCCTTCCACTCTACGCAGCAATCTTTGCCACTGCACCAGGATCCAAGACTAAACAAGGCCCTTACAAGGCGGGGAGACGAGCAGCCGGGTTCATCAGCAACGTCCCCCCACACGTCATATAGGGGCCTAAATAATTACCCCATCGTGTTTTAGGGACTCCTTGCTAGAGCTACACAAGAGTATAATATACCCCCAAAGCCCTTCTCTAAGTGTGAAGGTCCCTGCGCTACACGTAAACCCGGCAATCTTCAGATGCTCGAGGCGTTTTCGTGAGCTCGGATGAGAAGGTCTTGGCCCGTGCGAAGGACTTGGTGAGGCAGGTAGACACGGCTGTGCTTATTATTATTATTATTATTATTATTATTAATATGATTATTATTATTATTACTATTACTATTATTACTATTATTATTATTATTATTATTATTACTATTACTATTATTACTATTATTATTATTATTACTATTATTATTATTACTATTATTACTATTATTATTATTACTATTATTATTGTTATTATTATTGTTATTATTATTATTATTATTATTATTATTTGGAGGGGTTGAGCCGCAAGTGGTTGTCGGGTGACTCCCGGAGCTTGGGCGCTCCCTGCCGTCAGGTGGAAGAGGCTTCGCCCTTCAGAGATATGCTGCTGGGCTCCAGACTGTGCGTTGGTGGTTTTGGTCGGGGCATGTCGAAACTTAGTCGCTAGCCTCAGAACACCAGAAGCCCCAAAGCATAGACGCTACGCTTGCAAATGCTAATATTAATGCCAAGGGACCTATTCAAAGTGAGACATTGCAGAAACCCTGTTTGCTGCTGCGTCGTGTCTCTTGGTCATGGACATGGGAAGTTCCTAGAATCAGGGGCTTCTGATCTGGGGGTCGCGATAACAAGGATCCGACTGCTTCGGCTGTTATTACTTTCGGATTCTGATTACACTTATTCGGCATGACGAGAATGGTTTATCGGTTAACTATTTTCATGGTTCGTACTGGTAGTAGTATAAGAGTAGTAGTGATCAACATTGTTGTGTTCCCCTGTGTGCACTCCTGTTTGCTGACACTCCCGGATGCCTAAGGCTTGTTCTTCGGATGCTGTCGTTGGCAACCAGGCCCCTTCTTGCTTGCTGGTTCCTGTCAAAGTTCACAAAGGGCTGTTATACTTATATAACTTTAAATATAAATACATATATACATGTGTATATATATATACCAACAGTGATTATACACATATAGATACATAGGTAGATGTATATCTGTATATATGTATGCATGAAATTCGTATTAATATCCTTATTTATTTGCTTCTAGCGTAACCACATAGTGCTATGATCTTACTGATGCTCATGTCTTTACGACTCATGAGCAGCCGCTTCTTCCATCGTGCGCCAGTGTGCGCTCACTGACGCCGATGCGTCATGTGGATTGTTGCAAGACGTGTTACCGCCGTTTTGACATGATGGTCACATCGGCAGCATCACGTTCATCACCATCATAATCATCATCATGTTCGTCTTCATGATCATCTTCTTCTTCACCAGAGTCACCATCACCATCCATCATCACTACCATCATCATCATCATCGCGTACTTTAACGTTATTCCCGCAGTCGCTGTCTTCTTCTGACTGCTGTCACCAGCATCATCATGACTATCATGCCAATGGTGAGTGTACTGGCCATGTGATTTTTCTGTCGCTGTGGCTTCGATCTTTCTTGAGGCAACAAAACTGAGGCTTTGTCTTCTGAAATACAAGTTCGAAGAATTAACAAGAGCCTTCCTTGGAGTTGCTTGAGATCGTTAAAGTCAGTATAACATCCCCCCCCAAAAAAAATCTATCTATGTATCCAATAAGGCCCCGTGTTATGTCATGTTCCGAGTTTCCAGGAGTCTCTTGGGCAGCAGAGAGTGTCATAGCAGTCGAGGTTGTTAGTTTCGTAGGGTTTTTTGAAGTTTCGCACTGTGCTGTCGCCTTTACGGTTGCGGTTGTGGGGGTTACTTGGAGGGTCGGGGGACTTAGTAACCGGTGATTTTAGGGCCTTATGAGTCCCATAACCCCAATTAGGGACCTTTTTCGGGTACTTATAAGTCTACTTACTACCTACTTACTAAGTCCCCTGACCCTCCAAGTAGGGTACTGGCAGGGACGATGAGATGTCAGATGGTGAATGCGTGAATGGCGTCGACATGGTCGTGGCTAGCTGAACCCTTGCCCTGCATGAGCCCTAGCACACTGTAAGAGGGGGAGTTCGCTCAACTGTGAACGAATGTCGAAGCCGTCGCATCTCACAGAAATTGTAGTTTGTATAATTAACAATGTATGGTATAGGTATATAGCATGCAAAATGCCGTAAGAGCTCAAGATGTCCCCATGCTTGGATACTAACTTCAGGCCAACAGCGCAGCACCCAGAATTCCCGGCAAAGCGCCAGCGAATTCACAACTGCCCTTGCATCCTGAAGCCTGGATCACATGCCAAAACCCTACAGCTGGAATCAGGCGAACTGGATGCTGCTTTGCGGGACGGCTTCTTCTCCGCTGCCATTTTGCAAAACCTTTAGGGTTTAGGGATGGTTATACATATCGAGTTGCGCAACCTGAGGGCTGGAGTACACTTGACATTGGCAGAAGTCGACTCGTTCATTGAGAAGCTTATCTAAATCACCATGTCCCGAAGCCGAGCGAACCCAGACTGCAGCAGCCTGCTGCCTGCTGATGAACAAATGTTGACGTGCCTGTTGTCCCTACTACTACTACTACTACTACTACTACCACTATTACTACTACTACTACTACTACTACTACTACTACTACTACTACTACTACTACTACTACTACTACTACTACTACTATTAGTACTACTACTACTACTACTACTACTACTACTACTACTACTACTACTACTACTACTACTACTACTACTACTACTACTACTACTACTACTACTACTACTACTACTACTACTACTACTACTACTACTACTACTACTACTACTACTACTACTACTACTACTACTACTACTACTACTACTACTACTACTACTACTACTACTACTACTACTACTACTACTACTACTACTACTACTACTACTACTACTACTACTACTACTACTACTACTACTACTACTACTAGCTACTACTACTACTACTACTACTACTACTACTACTACTACTACTACTACTACTACTACTATACTACAACTACTACTACTACTACTACTACTACTGCTACTACTACTACTACTACTACTACTCTACTACTACTACTACTACTACTACTACTACTACTACTACTACTACTACTACTACTACTACTACTACTACTACTACTACTACTACTACTACTACTACTACTACTACTACTACTACTACTACTACTACTACTACTACTACTACTACTACTACTACTACTACTACTACTACTACTACTACTACTACTACTACTACTACTACTACTACTACTACTACTACTACTACTACTACTACTACTACTACTACTACTACTACTACTACTACTACTACTACTACTACTACTACTACTACTACTACTACTACTACTACTACTACTACTACTACTACTACTACTACTACTACTACTACTAATACCAGTTCTGACCCCGAAGCCACAGCGGAGGTCCACTGCGATCCTCGATTCCTGAGCCCGCCTCTGGCGGAGCCTGCAGATCTTTGGGCAGAGTTGACCATGCAAACTATGGCGTAGCGCCGAAGCATAGTCATGCCGTGAGTGCCCCCAAGGGGCCCCGGCCGAACGGGGTTATCCCCGAGCTTTCTGACTTTGGCACTTTCCGTCACCTGTAGCGGCTGCGGAGCATCTTGGAAGCGACTGTGCAAAGTCACACAGGCATAAACGAGAAGAGCATGCGATGGCTGGATGCGATGTGGCAAAGCTGCCAGTATCAGAAGTGGCTGCGGCAGTATCACACTGTAGTATCACGAGCGGCAGCAGCACCAACTGCAGCTGTGTGTGTTCGTCAGTTTAGTGGCTCCACTGTTATTATGCCCTAAACCCTAAACCCTAACTGTTATTCGCCCTGCTCCCAAAACACCTGAAAGCAACTGCATGGAAGCCCAAAGATCCCCCGTAAACAAACCCTTACCCCCAACGCTAAAACTCTGGAATCCTTTTTTTTGTGTTGCTGATATGAATCCTGCATTACCTTAAGGACCCTATACTATGGGATTTATGGCATATTTCTTCTTATGGGTGGTGCAGGATTTATATCATCGACCCTAAACCCTAAACCCCTGTAGATCCCTTAAAGGAGCCAATTCAAGGTACCCTTATAGATCCCTTTTATAGAGGCCGAAGCACGTGTTGTTTTGCAGGTGCACCGGCGGCCTCGGCTTTGCTCGAAGCTGCGGGGGGCCAAGTCACAAGCCACAAGTGTTTAGGGTTGAGGGTTAAGGTTTAGGGTTCAGGGTTTAAGGGTTTAGGGGTTTGGGGCTTGGGGTTGAGGGTTCTCGGTTATTTAGGGTCAGCTACACCAGTCACATGTAAGTACAATATCAGTACGAAGACGACGACGATCATTAGTTATTAACAATGCTTCTTCTTCCTATTGTCGTTATCATCACCGTTCGATGATGAATAAGCTCTGCCTGTGATATCAAATGCATACTGCATATGAAACAACAACACCACCACCAACAACAACAACACGCGATTGCAAGAGGAAACTACGACAATATGGTGTGAAAGATTGTAGCAAGAAGAAAGAGAAGACCCGTGACAAGGGTGACGATGTGTCCGCCAGGTGCGAAAAGCCATCGAATTGATTACAGCATCACGAGTCCCGCTTATCGTCGTCTTGTAAAGACATGAACGGAGAGAGAGACAGAGAGAGAAAGACAAACCTAGCAGTACACATCGGGCTACACAGTGCTGATGTCGATAAGGATGCTTGTTAAAGCCGGTACTGCTTTCGTTTCTGTCCGTCAAACCCTAAACTTTTGTACTTGAAACCTTATAAAGCCAAAAAACCCAAATTCTAATTCGAACAAGAACAATCGCCGCATCACCTCTGCCACCGCCGGCACCCCGCAAGCCGCCAGCAGTATTTCAGAATCTGGGTTTGTTTTGAAAGGCACAGCTGGTTGGGATCAAGCAATGTGGTTGATGCGGTTTGGCACGACACTCCTACATCCTAGACCTGTAGATTCACTGTAGATCTTTTACACCCTGAGTCTTGAGCCTCTGAACACATATACCTGCAAGCCTAAAGCCTTAATTCCTGGGGCCCTAGGGGTCCACCACGGCTGCAGGTGCTACAACAGGAAACCCCGGCACGCCCTGCGGCGCAAAGTCCAGAGGCCCACAGTTTTTTGTGCTGCTGGTATTTCAGAAGCCGGGTTTCTTGGTGAGAAATGCACAGTGAGGTTTGACCCTGGGCCAGAGCCTTACATCCTAGACCCGTTGATCTTCTGGACCCTGAGTCTTGAACACAGTGCCTGGAACCCTAAAGCCTTAATTCCTCGAAGCCCGCCACGGCTGCAGGTGCTACAACAGGAAACCCCGGCAAGCCCTGCGGCCCTACAAAGTCCAGAGGCCCACAGTTTTTTTGTGCTGCTGGTATTTCAGAATCCGGGTTTCTTGGTGAGAAATGCACAGTGAGGTTTGACCCTAGGCCACAGCCTTACATCCTAATTAGACCCGTAGATCTTCTGGACCCTGAGTCTTGGACACAGTGCCTGCAACCCTAAAGCCTTAATTCCTCGAAGCCCGCCACGGCTGCAGGTGCTACAACAGGAAACCCCGGCAAGCCCTGCGGCGCCACAAAGTCCAGAGGCCCGTCGTATTTGGCTGAGCGCCTGGTATTTCAGAATCCGGGTTTCTTGGTGAGAAATGCACAGTGAGGTTTGACCCGAGGCCACAGCCTTACATCCTAATTAGACCCGTTGATCTTCTGGACCCTGAGTCTTGGACACAGCGCCTGCAACCCTAAAGCCTTAATTCCTCGAAGCCCGCCACGGCTGCAGGTGCTACAACAGGAAACCCCGGCAAGCCCTGCGGCCCTACAAAGTCCAGAGGCCCACAGTTTTTTTGTGCTGCTGGTATTTCAGAATCCGGGTTTCTTGGTGAGAAATGCACAGTGAGGTTTGACCCTAGGCCAGAGCCTTACATCCTAATTAGACCCGTAGATCTTCTGGACCCTGAGTCTTGGACACAGTGCCTGCAACCCTAAAGCCTTAATTCCTCGAAGCCCGCCACGGCTGCAGGTGCTACAACAGGAAACCCCGGCAAGCCCTGCGGCCCTACAAAGTCCAGAGGCCCACAGTTTTTTTGTGCTGCTGGTATTTCAGAATCCGGGTTTCTTGGTGAGAAATGCACAGTGAGGTTTGACCCTAGGCCAGAGCCTTACATCCTAATTAGACCCGTAGATCTTCTGGACCCTGAGTCTTGGACACAGTGCCTGCAACCCTAAAGCCTTAATTCCTCGAAGCCCGCCACGGCTGCAGGTGCTACAACAGGAAACCCCGGCAAGCCCTGCGGCGCCACAAAGTCCAGAGGCCCGTCGTATTTGGCTGAGCGCCTGGTATTTCAGAATCTGTGTTTGATTTGTAAGACATGCACAGGTTATGATAAAGCACGGTGGTTGATGAGGTTTGACACGAAAGACATACATCCCAGGCCCGTAGATCTTTACACCCTCAGTTTTGAGCCTCTGAACACATATGCCTGAAAGCCTAGAAGCCCACCACCGCTGCAGGTTCTACTACAGGAAACCCCGGCAAGCCCTGCGGCGCCGCAAAGTCCAGAGGCCCACAGTTGGTTTTGGGTCGGCAGGTTTGGCCTTGCAGACCCCAAAATCCGGAACCCCTTATACAACCTGTAGATCCTCAGCCCCAGGAGAACCCTAAGCCCCCAAAGCCCTAAACCTATCAATCAACTTTAGTTCCTAGAAGCTCTAATTTGACAAAGCTCTTAGAGAGAACCCTTGAGGAATCTTAGAAGCCCTTTTGGTGACCCTCAACACAGCTCTTCGAACTAATAACCCTGATAGGGAGCCTTAAAGGAAATAGACCCGAAACCCTATACAATTAACCCCTGACGGTAAGACACTAGGCTCTATGCCCTAAAGCTTCAGTCCTCTAAAAACACCCTGAAGGTCCTCCTCAATAACCTGATAAGCCAACTTCAAAAACAAACGACCGTTCAACACATCTGAAAACCTGGAAGGAACACCCTCAAAGAAACTCCACAGAAGTCTTGAAAGGAACCTTTAGAAGAAGACCCTTATGCACGAACTGTAAACCCACAACCCATTGAAGTACAAGGCATCTTTAGAGACCCCTTAAAGGAGCTTGTTAAAGGAGTTCTTTTACTTTAGAGCCCTCTACAGGATCGCTTAAAGGATCTTTTAAAGGACTCCCTAAACCCTGAACGAGCTTTTGAAGGAGCCCTTGAGAAGCATCTTTCAAAGGACTCCCTAAACGAGCCAAAAGAAGGAGCTCTTGAGAAGCATCTTTCAAAGGACCCCCTAAAGGAGCCTTTAAAGGAGCCCTGTAGAAGCCAGCCCTAAACCCTAAACCCTAAACCCCTAAACCCTAAACCCCCCTAAACCCCTAAGAAGCCAGGCACGACCGACCGCTCGAAGGGCTGAGCTCACAACGTCTCCCGCGCCGGCTCCGGCGCCCACGAGCCCCGAGGCGGACGATGGAAAGGAAGGTTCTTAGGGGTTCCTTTAGGGTTCCTTTTAAAGGGATCTATAGGGATTCTATAAGGGTACAGGGTTTATTTAGGGTTTAGGGTTTACTTGGAGGGTCGGGGGGCTTAGTAACTAGTTATTTTAGGGACTTATAAGTATCAAAACCCCAATTAGTGTCCCTTTTTAGGGTACTTATAAGTCTACTTACTACCTACTTACTGAGTCTCCCGACCCTCCAAGTAGGGGCGTAGGGGTTTCGGGGTATAGACGTTAACTTACCTTTGGTTAGTAGGGAATGGAGGAATATTACTACCATTCTTCCAGTCCCTACTAACCAAAGGTAAGTTGAGGGGTATATATATATATATATATATATATATATATATAGGGGCTCACAGGGGCTTATAGCAGCTTAGGGGCTTAGGGCTTCAGAGTGTATGGGGTTCATAAGGTTTAAAGGTACAGGGGGTTTCGGGGTATTGGGGTTAAGGGGTTTCGGGTGTACAGGGTTCGGGACTTAGGGTTTAGGGTGTTTTTTGGGATGGTTGGCTGAACTCGTCTGAGTGCACTCGCATGCAACTGTCTCTGAGAACATCACGGCGGAATGCATGCCTGCCAGTCGTCAGGCAAGGTTCCGCAAAGGGGGGCGCAAAGCGGCCGGAAGACAGCTTTGTCTCCAAGCCGACTGACAGCCCACTGTCTAAAAACTGTCCAACCCGCGCTCTGCGCAGGGTTTGACTTAGCAGCAAAGAGGCAGCAATCCACTAACCCTTTGAGGCAAGTCGGCACACAGAGGAGGCGTAGGGGCAGGTCTTCAGCTTGTACAGTGCAATTACGCCCAATCTCAACAAGGCTTTGGACAAAAGTCAACAATTCCTTGGAGCCTACGCTTTTCGTGTGTGGCAAAATTGGCCATCGCGGACTCTTCGACACTGCTCGAACTGGCTCCGTTCGACCAACTGGTCGGAGGGTGGCCCAGAACGGCTTGGGGCCGAAGGCAGCAGCCGCCGGCGGCCAGGCGAAACGAAACCTGGCAGGCACCACATCAGACGGG